AGTAGGAATTCATTATGTGAAATATTAAAAAAAGCTCTCCACTGGCTAGTTAAAAAAAAAAGAGAAAGAGACTTTTAAAGATGGTGGATTAGCTACATGTAGTTATTAACATTATTTGTGAAGAATTTGAAATTATAGTTATGGTGGAAACATTTTTCTCAGGGGCATAAGCAGCATTTCTGTTGAAAAATAGGTTGGACTTTGAAAAGATGAATATAATGTACGCATCCTTATTTCCATAGACATTGTGCATTTTCTTGATTAAAAGCCTTAGATTTTATGAGTTATGGCGTTAGACTTGCTGCATAAAGAGCTTCATGGCTTATTCTGTTAGAGTCTAATTTGAAAGAAAGTTCTTCCTCAAGGGTTTAAGAAGTAATTCATAAAATGGTAAGAATAATAAATATTGTGCCTTAACTCATACACTAGGATAGATAGACAGATTTTGTACACCTGGGTGTAATTTTAGTTAATTCACACAAGAGACAGGCTGAAAGTTTATTGTTTGGAAGGAGAAAAATGGCTTAAATCTTGTATTTGCAAAAATGATTATATTAGCTTAAATGAAAATGCTACTCTATTAATGGCTTCAATAAGCTTTGCATTTGGAAAAGTATTTTAATAAAAAGTTACCTGAAGTTTACTGCAACTTAAAATATGTAAGTGAGAGAAAAGTACTTACTTTGATTTATATGTCTTTTGGAGGTGTAATTATTGGCTTTTTACTCACCTATGTAAAACAATGTACTTTTGTAAATGGATTTCTGGCCACTTTACTCCTTTTTTTTTTCACATAAAAAGTAAGCACTGTCAATCAAAGAATTTTAAGGTTTATTTCCTCTTTAGAAATGATTGATAGCCTTTTAGATTTACAAGTTGACAAGTTAAAGGGTTCTATCGGTATAATTATGTACTAAATTCACAGTCTTTCAATTTAAATGTCCTTTTAAAACTGCAAGATTATCATACCTGTATTTTGAAAAGTGGGCCAGTCAGTTTGGGTTGGTATACAAATTGCTTCCATTAGCCTTGGGACCTATTTGAATTTAATACAGTTTTTTAAAGTTAGTAGTACTTTCAATAGTACTTTAAAATTTAGGGTAATGGGAATGCATTTTAAGTACAGTATGTGTTAGCTTGTTTTTAATGTATGGATGTCAAGAACACAAATAGAGAGTTTGTATTTCTTATTGATTCTTTTTTTCCAATCATGGAAGAAAAAACTTCTTTGAATTAGAACACTGGGAAATGTGTTACTGTGAATGGAGTTCAAATGCAGAGACCGGGCTCACGTGTACGGGGGACAGAGGCAAAACCTTGCATGAAGCTGGTGTCTGACCTTGTACATCAGCTGCCACGAAGGGTGGCCCGAGCCCTGGCTCTTCTGCAGTGCTTGGAGATCAGAATATCACCTTGTCATTGGAGTTTTGCCAGCTACTGACACAGGAACTGGTGTGGCCTTAACGCTGAAGGTGGGGTTAAATATTTAAACGGGGCTTGGTCTTTGAGATCTGACTAATTACCTTTGACTTGGGTTATAAATGAACTGAGGAACAGAGGGCTGATATCGTCCAATCTTTGGTTAGATGTTTAGGCAGCTAAAGATTTATTTTTTTCATTTTATCTAAGATTGAAAGGGTTGAATGGTTATAGACTAATGAGTGATATTTGAAAACTACAGTTTAGGACCCAATCTTGCAAATTGCTGTGTGCACCGTCTCCCCACCACTAAAGTAAAGCTGAAGCTATTTGAAGCAGAAAGTTTTCAGTATCTCTCAGAGGATGCTTGATGCCTTGTGAGATTGGACCATAAAATTAACATTTTTTTTGGTCATTTAGTTCAGAAAATACTCACAGGAAATACTCTGTGGATTTCAAATGTGTTGAATGTGTGGGAAGATATGAGAAAATGACTTCTATCTCTGGGGGGATTTCAGAACTGGTCTCCATTTATAATATTGCAGAATTTAGTAACTACTTTCCCAAAGGATGTAAAGGGAAAATGGCCATAAACTAGGCTGAATTAGAGAAGAAACACATTTGACAGAACCACGCTAAAATCTTCTAACATATTTGCAAAAGAAATGTAAATTAGAACTGTAGGGTTTTTTTTTTTAATTTTCTCAGGTAACAGCTATTTTTGATAATAAATATAAATAGCAGTAAATTAATTTTTTGTAAAATTTGAAGAAGGGTCTAAACTAAACAAGTCCACAATAAGAAGCCATGTAAGGAAGCTCAAAGGTAATGAACCCAGGAGTTTACAAACTCAGGTACTGTGATATTTTCTGCAAAACTACCAACAGAGTGGACAGCATGGGGCCAGGGTGTGGAAGAAAACATGTGGAAAAAAAGGCCCAACCATCCAAAAAACCAAAAAGGGCACAAGCAGGGCAAAAGCCTTATTCACACCCCTTCCATACAATGACCTGAATAAAAATAAAAGATCAAATTTGGATATTCCTGATAAAGGGAAGTGCATGAAGAAAACCAGGGAGACTAGAGGGATGCCATGATCTCTGGGACAATAAAAAACTTCTGACAATAGCCCAGAAATTAAAATCCTGAGGATTTCTAGTCTGGTGTTACTGTAATACTCTAACAGTAATTTCGGGATATGCTCAGAAGATTCCTTTCTGATATTAGAGAAATGTTGTGATTCTGCTGGACTGTGTGCCTCTCCATCCAGTCCCCATCAGCCACACACTTCTGTTTCACTGCTCTTGGGTAGACCTGGATTCCCCTCCATCACCTTCCTTCTGCCTCAATTGGCAGTAGCATCACCGGGCCTGATTATGGAGTTGGGATGTACTGAAGGTCCAGGAGGACATAAAAATCTGACCCTTTGGTTACCAGTAGGACCCCCTGCTGTAGAAATGTGGTTTGGAAATAATAATTTAAATGGAACAGTTCCTTTAAAAACTGGAGTGTTTTGTGGGATTCTTTATAGAGCAGCAATTAATTAAAAACAAGCCAGGGATTAGGTATTACTTTTGTGATAACAGTGTGGTCTGGCTAAAGATCTTTAACTTTAGGGGTATGAAAAAATGTTCTCTTCACTAAAAGCTGGATGTATGGACAAATTGTGCCCATGGAGCTGTGTAACTTGCTGTGGGATGAGCATCATTGAGCCACATGAGAATGCTTAGATAAGTGAGACTGGGATAGATAGTTCAATACTCAATCTTTTTGCAAGAATCAGATGGTATCATTCTAGCCACATAATAAATAAAACCATCACAAAAATGCAAGATATATTCATAATTTAGTAGGCAGACCTTGTGCAAGAAATACTTTGGGGTTTTAGGGGTTGTTTTTGCTGTTAATAAGCTAAGACAAAATAAGAAAAACTTTAAAGTGACCCAAAAATAAAAATAAAAATAAATTAGATTTCCTTCCCACCAAAAAAAAGGCTGAAAATACAAAAATCCATATTGGAAAAAATTTTTTTTCATTTAACTCAAAAAAAATTGCAAATAAATTGCTGTGGAAAATGTCATTGTCTCTATTGGCATGGGAGAGTCAAGATGCGCTGTTGTTTAGAGATGCTTGAGAATGCTTGACTGTTGTTTCAGTTCACCAAAGCACTTAGGAAATTTTAAGCACATGTTGAAGTTTCACTAACATCTGAGTTTTAAAGTGATCATATGACTGGAAATATAGCTAGAAGGTCATTCAGTGCAGTTCCCTGTAATTATAGGCAATCATATAAAAAACATAATATGCTCAAATTTGCTTTGCTGAAAGCAAATGGGCTTAAGTATGTGCTTACAGATAAGCATGTGCTTAAAGGCTTGGCACAATCAGAGCTTTGATTAATGCAGGCAGACCAGCATTTTCATGAAGATTAAAGTGTTCCACTTCCACCATTTCTCTCCCCCATTTTATTGGACCAGATATATGCAGTGAATACTAAGTAGAGAAAAAATGGAGGGACTAGATTTCTGTATTAATCTTTGAGTGCATTCTTATTTGTTAGTCAGAATTTTCTAGGACTCCAGCTTCTTAGAATTGTACAATTTCACCAGGACATTTCACTTATTTCAGGATGAATAAAGATGTTAGAAGGCATCTGTCTCTGTATCTAGTACTATTTGCTCTTTGCAGCTCTCCACTTTCTAGCAGTCTGACTGAATCTATCTCATATGTGCTAAGTGTCTGTATTTAAGCCATTCCTGTTGGGAGATCATCTTCAGGTCTGGCAGACTTGGTATCATTAGGAAGTCTTCTCTGATATTTTGCCAGCAGGGCTTTACTGAGGTTTGCAGGGCAGTGCTGTAGCTACAGGACTGCAGGACTGTATCACACACAAGCAGTGGCAAGGTGGTATGCATTTCTGGGGTAATGACAATGAATACTTCCTAATCACTTTGAAAACAGATGATTTTTTTTTTTTTTAATTTATTAAGTCTTTTGGATCTGTTCAGTGCTGATCGCAGCCTGAGCTGGGCTGCTAAAGTCAGTGTCAATGAGTAAAAAATAAAGCCTCTGCCAAGACAAATGCCTGTCATTCACAACAAAATTACATGTGATCACTGCACATGGAGCACACTAAATGTAGAACAGAATCTGGAACAAGAGAGACTCCCTAATAGAAATTCCTTTTGTCTTCCAATCACAAAGCACCTTCCTTGTAATATGAAAACAGGAAAAAAACCAACATGAAACATGTGGTGCAAAGTACTTATCAAATTAATTTCATCATGGCTTTCAGAGATAATGATCCCTTCCTTTTTGGAAGATGTGTGCAACATCCCCAAATTTTCCAGCAACCTTGTTTTAGGAACTCAGGTGGGAAGGTTTGCATCACTGTTTGAACCGAAGCCTCAGAACCAACCTCAATTAAGTGTTTGACTTCATAGTCAGTGCTGATTTCAGTAAAAGGGGATTTTGCTGTGGTCTTTCCTTGGTCTTGCAATGCATTGCCACTCTTTACAGTGCAACAGAGCCGTGCTTGCTGTGCGTTTGTCACACCATGATGTTGTTTGTTGTTGTTTCAGCTCTGAACGAACCCACCATTGACTACGGTTTCCAAAGGTTACAGAAGGTTATCCCCCGGCACCCTGGTGACCCCGAACGCTTGCCAAAGGTCAGCACAAAGTTTATTGTTTTATTAAATATGGTAAAGCTGGTTACTGCGTGTTTTTGTCTGAAAGTGCAAGACTCTGTAAATGGAATGGTCCTGGTTTGGTACCCAACCCAGATAAGCCAAAACAGAGGCATGACCAGTAAAGCCCAATCAGCAACTTTCACTGTAGGCTTATGAGACTTCTGTGGCTTTCTGAGTCACAGCTCACTCAAACAGCTCTTGCCTTTCTTAAAGCAAATCTTATGCTGAGTTCTCAAATACATAACAAAGTGCAAATTTTTGATTGGTGTTTTGGAACCGGAGCAGCTTATTCATGGAACAATGATGCTTGGTTTTGGTATCACAGTAGTACTTGCCATTATATTTTTGAGAACTTCACCATTGATAAGATCAAGTTATTTGGAACTTCAGGGAATGAGTGGCCACTGCTGCTGCACCATGTATTGGTTTAGGGTAATAATTGTTATATATTGCTTTATTTCAGGATTGCTGAAATAATTAGCACAATGCATAGTGAAGTGATTTGATGTGCATTCCCATCAAAATTAGTGGGAGTTTTTTGTTGATTTTTGTTAATTAAAAGCTGAGGAGGAAACAGAATAGTTCACATAGGCTTCTAGTACTTCTGTCTTGTACTGTGAAAATGCTCTCTGGGTTTGCACTCACATCTGTTCTTGCTACCTTGCCATACTCTACTTTCTCTGGTGAGAATTTGTGGTGAGTTTTGTGACACATTGGAGAAAGAGGTGGGATATTTGAGAAAATGTTGCTCTTTGCCACAGAACACTGAGGAATAGCGTGCATGAGCTGGAGTCACTGTATGTGACCAACAGCCACCATATGTTTTATCTGCTCTAGCATCATGGCTGTTAGTGAGCAAGGTGGGGAGTCAAACAGGCCAAGAGTGTGTATGTGAAGAACACCACCTTTGACTTACCGAAAGGAAGACGTGAATTTGCAGACCTGAGACATAGAGCAAATTGGGCTTTGATGCCTTAGACCAGATGCCTCAAATAATGCATGTCCAGTATAGCCTTTGTGACTGGGTAAATCTGTGACCTTTCTTCCATAGCTCCCGAGCTGTCAGTAGGCTTTCATCAGGGATTCTTGTAGGCTTTGATTAGTTAAATTTCTGAAGTGTTTCAAAGGTGAGAAGATTCCATGAACACCGTAACTTATTTTATTTCTTCACAGAAACAAAATTCAGTATGCAATTTTTTTACAGGTTTATTAAGTCTTTTATCTTTGCCTAGGAAGGCTGTAGACTGTGGTTTTGGGGTCGATGATGTGTTGTCCTTCCCTCTTACCACCAGAAAAACATGCTGTCCTGGAGAGTTACATTTTACATTGGCTCTGTTCACCCTCTACAAGCTGTCCCTTTCTCTGCCTTTTGGAAAGATTTGCAACAAGACACAGCTTTCATAGGTTGTCAAATTTCCCTCCAGAGGTGCAACTCTTTCCAAAGAAAGACCATCCTTCTGTAGGGGGTCTTTCATCTGTATTGTGCCTCTGCTGCCAAATGTGCACGTGGAGAAAAAATGTTTCTTAGAAAATAAGAGACCAGTCTTCACTATGCACCAGGCATTTGCAAGATCAAAAAGAAATGCTGCAAAACTTCCCTGAACCCAATGTTCCAGCTGACTAGATGATGGCCATAGCTTTCCTCTAAATCAGGAAATTCAAGTAGAATAAGACTGAGCAATTCCAAACTGAGTTATGCGTCTGGGTATTGTAGTGCATCACCAACTTCCACAGGTATTGGGGCTCCTTTTCAGACACCCATGGCACCGAGGGGGTCCCCAGCAATGCTCTTTTGTGCTGGTATGGAAATGCAGCCATCAGGCTGAGCAACCTTGTCTTTTCCATTTAGACTGAGACCGTTACCACACTGATAACCACACGTTCCTGCTATCTAGTGTCATAGGACATAAAAACAGGCAGAAGAAAGCTCCATCTAGGTCCATCTGGCTCCATATCCTGACTCCAATGTTTAGCAGGTGTTTATGGATAGGGTGTGAGAATGAGGGGTAGTATTGAGTCCTCTGTCCCCTCATATACTCTCTTGGCTTAATGTGTTTGTTCCAAGTATCCTTTCAAACTATTTTTTCAAATCTTTAAATCCAGGGAAATTGTGGTTATGCATGCAGAGGTATGATGTGATGGCCTAAAAAAAAAGTTACTGCTTAAGGACTGAACAAACTCAGTGAAGAAACTAGTATCACTATGCAAGGTTAGAGGGAAACAGGATGAAGAGGACCTTTATTTTTGTCTTTGGGTAATTCCTTCTGTGCAAGCTTGAAGGTTGGACCTCAAGTTCAAGACTCATTAATATGCCATGCACAGAGGCTGAATGCAGCAGGGGTTGGCACATGTCGACTTCTGTATTTGAGGCACTGATGGTTCAATTCCCAGCATTGCTTGCTGGCTCCAGGATCATAATCAAGGACACAGCGAGTCTCTGTGCTGGGTGAGCTCTGCACAGCGCTCTTCCCCATGTCATTAAACCAGGAAGGGCTTTGGCAGTATTCCACTATAGACAATTCTCAGTGGCTACTTAGAAGAGAGTTGGAAGCCATATGGATCCCACGGTGGAATCACGGGCAGAGAGGGCAAATGTGTGAGAGAGACAGAGAGCGAGACAGCAGAGAGGAGAGCAGTGCTCAAAGCTTTCAGCATCCTTTCTTCCATTTTCCCCATTGCCCTGCCAGTGCATCATCACTTTCTGTTCATTAAAAAGCCTGTACTTATGCATTAAATAAATAAAACAAAGCACATTTCAGTAGTTGCTGATAGGGTTTTGTGGCCATTATTCCACTGAAACTTTATTGATGAATTAGAGATCTTTCAAGAAACGGTTATAATTTTTGTGTCCATAAGGGCATGCAGTCCTTCACATGGACCAACAGAGCATTCTGCTGTGTGACTTATCCCTGCGGTCAAGGTGAATTGTTGAGGCCATCAAGTGAGTGTTAGAACATGCTCTACCCTCCAGAGCTGAGGAGTTAACAGCTATATCTGTGTCAACAGGCATTTCTAAAACCACTGAGGATATTTGAGAAGTTGATCCCCACTAGTTTAGAACGAGTATTTGCAGAGGTGCTCATTGTTCATGCTTGGGATGAATTTTTTTAAATGTTCTAACTATCTGCTGGAAGTAGGCAAAGAAAAAAGCCAGATTTTGAATGATTTTTTTTCTGTCTCCCAGTGCTTCACTAGCCAAATTCCAGTGGAGAATATCTTCTCATAGTGAGGAGAACAGGAACATCTGGGAATTAGGGTCTTTGGACTGATAGACTGACAAGTTGGTGTAGAGATGTGTTTAAAGTAGAAATGCAACATATATTTTCTGGAGAAAAGAGTGGGACCTGATATTGGCAGCTGGGCTATGGAGGCAGCTATGGGCTAGAGTCCTAGTCCCTTCTTGTACAGAGCAGGGCAGGGCAGGGCAGGCAGCCAGTGCAGGGCTGTCACTAGCAGATGGATGCACATGGCTGTACACACACACATACCTGCACAAACACATGCACCAAGAGGAGAGACAGGCAGCACAGAGGTGGTGGGATTAGCACCCAAATCTTGGAGTGAGATCAAGCACCCGGAGTGTGCTGGGCAGCATAGGCTTTCCTTTCTAATACAGACAGGAGGCAGATCAGAGGAAACAAGAGATCTCTGGGGAGAAGTGAAAAGAAATACCATGATGCTAATGTTAAGAAATTGTATTGTTGTCCTGTAGGAGTAGTCGGCAGAAAGCCTGCCTGTGGAGCTGGGGAATAAGCCTGCATGCGTGTGTGCAATTTCCCTGTCTCATGATTGCATATGTGCAAGCAAATACACACGTGTTGTTGGTTCTTGCATACATAACTGCAGTGGAAATCACTAAAAAGTTTAGATCACAACAACCTGTTGGGTCTATTGAGGTTCATTCGTGTAACTACCCTACAATCCTTAAAATAAATCCCTGGCAGATACATTGCGATTCTGCAATTTTGCTAAAACTCCACAGCTATAGCTGTAAAACAGTTTCAACTGTGAGCTAGATTTGAAACACATCCATCCTAAATGATTTAATAACAACAATTCCTCTTTATATGCAATTTCCTAGAATTTATTTGCCATTTTCACCACTCTTACAACTCATCACTTGTATTTAAATTAAGTGAAAGACTCTGTGTTTGAGAAGCAAGTCATTGCATCGAACCCCTCCGTGATCTGACATCCTCTCCCTCCCAGTCTGTGGCTTACATGTTCTCTCTAGGAGACCCCTTATCCCTCCTGAAAGGGACCTTTACTTCTGGTTTCTCTTCATGTAGATGAAAGTGGAGCCTCTCTCTCTCTGTAGCACACAGGGGCCTCCCTGCTGAGCAGAGAGCACGCGTAACCAGGCTCCACCGTCCCTTCAGCTCCTTTTCTCTGGTCAGTCGTTAGATGCCCCCAAGACATATCCCGTCTCCTTGTTTAGGATGCTAATAGAAGACATGTGGTTATTAGGAACCAGTGGCTGCAAAAGCCAGTTGTCTTTTCCCATACGAAATCCCACAGATCTGCCCTTTAACCATGGTGACATGGGTATTGTTTATATTGCAAATAAAGGTTGCCTCTAAATGTGAGTGGGTTGGCACCGGCTTGCTACCAGAGGTTAAAATAGCAATGAAGACAAAGCAACTCAGGTTTGCTGCTTCAGACAGACCCAATGGAAATTCCAGAACGGGTCTCCATCTGCTAACTCAAGACTGTATTTTAACCTAAGTTAGTAATTTTCAGCTAAGAAAACACATATTTTTGTTTTTTTTTTTCCACCCAGTTAACAAGAGGGTTGTTAGAAAACTGTTATACTAAGTATGGGCAGGAAGGGGGAGCATGTGAAGAGGAGCTGTTGGAGCTCATCTGTATAGCAAGGAGGGCATGAGATGTGCTTGGTGGTTTCTACACTGTACTGTAAAATTTATAGGAAAGTGAGACCAAAGTTAAGGTTGGTACTGAACCCTTGACAGCTGGGTTTT